GGGTTTAGGGTTTAGCGTTTAGGACTGAGGGTTTAGGGTTTAGGGTTTAAGCCCTGAGCCCTAAAGCCTGAGCCCCAATCGAACTTTGTGCCCAAAGATCGGGATTTCTTAGGGTTTAGGGTTAAGGGGCTTTAGTGGTTTAGGGTTTAGGGTTCAGTTCAGGGTTTTAGGGTTTCGGAGGTGCTTTAAAGAACCCTAAACCCTAAACCCTAAACCCTAAACCGTTAGGGTTTAGGAGGTGCTTTGCAGGGATGAGGCGGCTCCCTGACCAGGAAAATCCTGTAATATAGGAGCCTTGATTAGAATTGGGTTTTGGGGCCCATTAAGGGTTTAGGGTTTAGGGTATAGGGTTTGGGGTTTAGGGTTTAGGGTTTAGGGTTTAGGGTTTAGGGTTTAGGGTTTAGGGTGGCCCATTGAAAAAAACTCTTTCAAGGAACCCCCAAAATAGTATAGGTACTTATTGAGGACCCAACATTATCACCCCGAAACCCTAAACCCTAACCCCCCGCCCCACACCATAAACTCTGCACCCAAAGCCCTGAACCCTAAACCCTAAACCCCCGTCCCGCACCCTAAACTCTCCACCCAAAGCTTTGCAGCCTTAGCCTTCAACCCACTGAAGCACTTTTACGGTTTAGGGTATAGGATTTAGGGTTTAGGTTTTAGGGTTTAGGGTTTATTTAAAAAGGTAGAGGTTTGGAACCGCGGGTTTGCGTTGCGTACTTGCGCACAAATCGTGCGTCCTCAAACCGTTTTTTCTAACAACTAGTTTTATCGCACAAGAAGACAGTCTGTTGAAAGAGCATAAATTTTGAGCAGGTGCGTTTCTCGGGGCCGGGGAAACGCATTTGGCGCACTTGTTGGCAGAGTTGGCGGAGTTGAGGTTATTTCGTGCGTGAAGTAACAGATTCCGTGTCAACTTCTGAAACTTGGCCTGGAGTTAAAACTTGGCAGAACTGCTCGCTATATAGCAAAGGTTGGGTGTCAAATATACGGGTGACAAAAAGGGGGGGAAAGATATGGCCTTTCCATATGCTTGCCAAAATTCACGTGGTTTGCAGGCGAAAAGGCAGAATGCGTTCTACCAGGCCTTCCGAAATGATTTTTCTTGCAGGCGGGAAGGAGGCGAAGCACCCTTTCCAGGCCTTCCAAAACGCTTGTTGCCTGGCAAACCGTATTTTGCTGGCTAGTTGAGACGCATTCACCGTACGTGTCCACGCGCCCGGTACTTCATTGGAGTGCTTTCAAAAATTGGCACACATGCCATGCGTAATTTCACACCCTCATCAACATTTCCTGATTTTCCTGCAAGTTGACGTCCAGCAGAGACATCGTCCACAGTTCTCATATTCTCATCAAGCGCCCGCTTGAAGCAGTATTCCTGCCGTTGTGTTCAATGTACTTACGGCTTACACAGTTCGATGACAAAACGTTGATAGTCAGGCTTCAATCTACAACCAATTGGGTGCTGTAAGCTTGCACTGTAAGCCGCGGCATAATCTTAATTAAGCGCTTTAGCGCAGTTGTGTTATATATATATATATAGTCACTCACAGGGATGTCCTCGGAAAAGTGTTCCTGCGGCCGGTCATGGTGGGGCTGGACCCAGGAATCCCGACGTGTTTCACTGTCCAAATGCAAACGGTGACACCTCGACGAGGGCGACCTGAGACTAGACAACGGGCCGTCGGGGTTGCGCACGTCTTTGTTTGTATAATCATAAGCCACGAAGGCAACCACAACGCGCATGCTGCGTGCATGCAGTGTTTGCAAAATTCAGGTGTGGACATGTCCGCATAATTGACGTGGTTTATGGTTACAAGCTTGGGCTGGATCACCACATGCGTGCACCCATAGCGTCGAACGAGATTCTGCACTATGGTGTGCACCATAGGTGGTTTCCACGCGGTGCTCAGCTGCTGCATCGTAGGCGCCAACGGAACAACAGAACCACAGCAGTGTGGTTTCTCGAGGCGGATGCACGTAGCCAAACGCCAATGCCCCAACTTTTCAAGCCGCGAACGGTCCATCTCCACAGCGGCTCATCCGTTGGCTGGGATGGCACCGGTGGCGCAAAGGTTGGCGGTGCTTTTGGAGCTACGGCCGTACGTGCCTAGTCCTGCGACTCCAAGGCTCTCAGTGCATTGTGTTTAAGGGCAGTGCCGTTCGACAAATGTATGAGAAATCCCTGTCAGAAGGCCGTTGCTCAGAACTGGGATCTGAAGGTTTGGCGTAGTTTTCCGCGGAGCATGCTGTGGGCACCCAAGGAGCCCTGTGGGTACCTGCGGCCACTGGTCCGAAATCATGGGCGGCGGCCGACGCGGCATTGATGCCACGGCCCGCCGTAACGAACAAGACCGAGCAGGGTAAAGTGGGCAGCGGTAGCTAATGCAGGGTCAAGGTTTTGATGAGCATCCATCAACGCGCGAATTTGGAACCCTATAGGGTACTTTAACGGAACCCATTTTAGGGCGATCTGGTTTTTTAGATCCTTCCGGTGGTCTGGGCCCTGATCCCTAAACCCTACTCCTACTCCACCCCAAGCCCTAAACCCTACTCCTACTCCACCCCAAGCCCTAAACCCTACTCCTACACCACCCCAAACCCTAAACCCTAAACCCACCCTTAAGCTATATACCCAAACCTACTTGTTTGTAGGGACCCTAGAACTTCGATATTAGGGTTGATATTAAGAACGCACAAAAATAGTAGATGGTAGTAGTTTAAGGTCCCGCCAAGGTTTGGGGACATTTTTCTGGTCCATCGTGCTCCTGGCTTTGGTCAAGGCCTGCCTTAACGACCAGATGGCCCCCACAAGCTGGGTCTGCGCTGCACCCTTAGACATATGAATCCCTAGAAAGTTTGTGAGCCTTAACATAGGAGCCTTAATAATTAGAATAGGGTTTGGGGTCATATCATACTAATATAGCCATAACAAGGCACCCCAAAACCCTATTCTAGTTATTAAGGCCCCTGCATTAGACCCTGAGGTTCATGTCGCCCCTAAGGAGTATGATCAGAGATGTCTGAACAACCCCCTATGAATTTTTAGAGTTTCGAGTCAAGGGTTTGAGGCTTGGGGTTTGGGGACGGTTTGGGTTTAGTGCCCTAAACCCTAAACCCTAGTTTAGGGTCTAGGATTGGGGGCGTCGGGTTTCGGGTGCAGGGCGTTGAGTTCTTGTGTAGGGCGTGCTCGTTTTAGAACGTCTCCGACGGGATATCGAAGTGCGCTAAGTCCTTAGTATAGATGATAGCGGTTTAGGGCTTAGGGTTTAGTTAGTCTGAGAAGAGGTGACGATGGCCCTGATCCTTTGCCAACTCCTGCAGGCCAGGGGCGGTGGAACTCTTGTTGGTTTAGGGCTACCCCGAACACGCTAAGCCCTAAGCGGGTTAGCCATTTCAACAGACGGCGGCTTGCACAGGGGCCTGAATGTTAAGTTTTGGTTAGATTTGTGTTTTAAACGGGGTGCTTGTCAAGGGATTTACAGTTGCCCGGTGATAGTATTCCTAAGCCCCTAAGCCCTAAACCTTAAACCCTAAACCTCCTATTCCTAAGAGTCCAAACATTACACTATGGCTATACCCAGAACCCTCGTGCTATAAAATTCCGGCCGCTCTAGTATACTTCCCCTGCTGCTTCACCCTAACAGCGGATTTAGTTAGGGCTTTCTGGTGTATAAGCCCTGAACCCCTCCCTCCTCCCTGAACTTTTGAACCTTAACCCTTAAATGAAAGCACTGACCCTAAACCAAGTTATCCCTATGTTAGTCCCTCCCTCAAGGTTCTTTGTAGCAGATCCTATTGCCCATTCCTCCATTCTCCACTAAACCAAGCCCCAGGCCCCAAAACCTAAACCCTAAACCCTAAACTTTCAACCCTAAACTTAGACCCGAAACCCTAACCAACCAATCCCGGCGCTGCCCTGAGGATTTTATCTTGGATGAGCAGAAGGACCTGGAGACGCGCCTCCAGATGAACCTGTTCTATGGCAGCTTCTTCAAGTCGCTCTTTACCATGTTCGAGGTGCTAAACTCCAAACCCTAAACCCTAACCTTGTTGGATGCAATTTTACATTTTTGCTTCAATAAAGCCCCACAAGGATTAAACATGATCATGTTAATGACAGGGGACCAGTAAACCCGGTTTACGGTTGAGGGAGTCTAGGGCTAGGTTCGTTGGGTGTAATGTAAGGTTTCGGTAGTCTAGGGCCACCTCAACCCCGAATGATCTACATGATCGAAGATTTTATATTAATAAGGAGGCCTAAACAGGTAGCACCTCTGTGATCTTCGGTTACGCTGCAGTCTGTACCCATAGGGTGTAGGGTTTAGGGTTCATACCCTACCCCAATCTTGGGTGTTATCTAACTTTTCTCTATACCAGACCGCAACCATAAAACGGTTGATGATATAAATTCTGCATTACTCATAATAAGGAATATACCAGAATTCTCATAGTTTAGGGTCCTCAAGGTAATGCAGGATATATATCATCAACAGAAGGTACCTGAAACAAGGGGTAGGGTATGACTCTCCAGGTAGATCATACCCAGACCCTACGCCTGAATGAATTCATCCTGGAGGCCGAAACCAAACCCCAAACAAACTTCCGGTTTAGGGTTTAGGGTTTAGGATTTTGGATTTAGGGTTTAGGGTTTAGGGTTTAGGATTTAGGGTTTAGGGGGTTTTGGAGGTTTGGGATGTAGGATCGAATCAGTGTTGGAATCACAAGGTCCCTTTCCTGAAAGCTCGAACGCTATAGTTAGAGGGCTCCGGGTTTGGGATGTTGGGTTAAGGATTTGGGGTTCAGGGTTTTCGGATTTACGGCTTAATGATTTGGAGGTTGGTACAAGGCTCGGCTTCAACTGAATTAACGTCTTTCGAGCAGGACGGGGTCGCAGCCGTTGCCGAAGGCTGCTTCCTCTACTCACCTCGATAGCTAAAGCTTAGGCCCTGTAAACCGTAAACCCTAACCCCTAACCCCTAACTCCTAAACCCCTGAANNNTAAACCCTAAACCCTTAACCCTGTCTCATCCGCAAGCTTTCATCTCGCACTGCTTAGTAAACCAATAGTCCTCTATAAAGGGCAGTATAGGATTCTATAATAGTTAGGACCCCTCAAAGGGCACTATAGGATTCTAGAGGTTGGACCCCTTAAACTGATTAAAGCTCAGTATACCAGACCTACCAAAAACCCTAAACCCCCAACCCC